CAAACAAACAGAAAGTGTAACGGTCGTACATACTAACAAGCAGAATACTCACTTCTTTTCATTCGGGCCTGTCACGGCCTAGTGGTTAGAATGAACAGTAATCAACGGGTCGTGTGTTCGAACTCCCGTCACCGAACATGCTCGCCCTTTCAACCTTGGGGGCGTTATATTGTGATGATCAATCCCACTATTCGTTGGTAAAAGAGTACCTTAGAATTGGCGATGGGTGATGTTCACTAGGTGCCTTCCCTCTAATCTGTAAGTGCGAAATTAGGGACATCTAGCGCAGATAGTCCTCGAGTAGCATTGCTCGAAATTCAAACCAAACCTTTTCACCTTGCAGTTTATGATAAATTTTAAGTATATTAGAAAGTTGAACTAGAATTACCCAAAGGTTATATTTTATATTTTGATCAGGGAATAAACAATTTGCTGAGATTTTATAATTTACTATGTAAGTAATCTATTTATATTTTTATGATTTTAATCAGTATGCGGTGATTTTATATATTTCAAACAGAAAAAGTGTTTTAAACGACAAGGTTTTATATTTAAATCATATTGTTTTTAATGTGAAAATAAATAACAAATATTTTAAATTAACTGTGAAAAAAAACAAAAACAAGTTGTATATATATATATATGTATTTAAGCAGATTAAATAGAGGAGAAAGATATGAAGGACTGTCCATTGGAATGTATGCACTCCGCTTATCAGCTCAAAATACTAGTTACTTCATACACGCCATTATGGAAATTCGGTTTAATTTTATCGTCATCGAGTTTTACCTCAAACAAGGCGTTTTGCATTTTGCTGGAAATGTGTCACACACACAAATTGTGAATAAATAGCTAATTTTTCGTTATTGACCTTCTAGGATAAATGAACGCAGTGCAGAATAAAAGGACCAACGAAGTAGATGTTAAATAATTCATAGGATGTATGATTTATTAGATTATTTAAATATTCCAAATTACAAAATTAAGTTACAACTAAGCCTATCAAAAAAAGGGTTTTAGTACACAACAAAAGTAATAAAAATTATTATTATACTTTCAATTAAATTAACCTAATCTAAATGTATATGCTAGAGCTAGTTTCTGTAAACTCTTTTTTTAAACATAAAATTCTTATTGCTCGTTCTTTATAGAAGGATATATATAGATAAATAAGCCAAACGCAACACAAGAACAAATGATATAATTCCAAACGTATACTAAATCAAGGAAATGTTTCCTGGTTTTAAAGGTATATAAATAGATAAGATCATCTTCCATATTTAATCTAAAATCTTTAGTAACCAGTTTACTGGTGTATACGTAACTTACATCATTAATAACTAGCACTATTACGTGAAGTTTGCTGGGATACAAATTTCCGGACTTAAATTCATTCTGTTATTTTAATGGCTTGCTCTTAATGACTCCTTGTCTGTTTTATTTCTGATTAGACATACAATCACCCCAGAAGTGTCTTGTAGACAGCGCAAATGGTAAAAGATGATGAGCAATAATATGGGCTTGAACACTCATCTCTGACATTAACTGTAATTGTCATTAGAGGTTAAAGCTGATACACGATACATTCTTAGTACAATGTGAGTAGCATTTTCTATAGGTCCCAAACTTTTATTTTTTGTTGATAGTAATATTGTTTGCTAATAATAGTGTTGCTAGTAATGTTTTTTCTCTTTATTGACGTCGAGCTTCTAAATGTATTTTTTATATCATGAAACTAAAACAAGCTTCAGATAATGATATTGTTTGCTAATAATAGTGTTGCTAGTAATGTTTTTTCCTCTTTATTGACGTCAAGCTTCTAAATTTATTTTTTGTCGATATCATGAAACTAGCAACACAATTATTAGCAAACAATGTCTTTATCTGCAGCGTGTTTTAGTTTCATGATATAAAAAAATACATTTAGAAGCTTGACGTCAATAAAGAGAAAAAACATTACTAGCAACAGTATTATTAACAAACAATATCATTATCTGCAGCGTGTTTTAATTTTCACGATATCAACAAAAATAAATTTAAAAGCTTGACGTCAATAAAGGGAAAAAACATTACTAGCAACAGTATTATTAACAAACAATATCATTATCTGCAGCGTGTTTTAGTAATTTTTGTCTCTTTATTGACGTCAAGCTTCTAAATTGCTAGTAATGTTTTTTCTCTTTATCGACATCAAGCTTCTAAATTTATTTTTTGTCGTTATCATGAAAACTAAAACACGCTGCAGATAATGATATCGTTTGCTAATAATAGTGTTGCTAATAATGTTTTTTTCTTCTTTTTATTGACGTCAAGCTTCTATTTTTTATGTTAAGCGTAAAAGACTTTGGGTGATTTACTTGAACACCATCTACTGAGTTTATAAGGCTGGCTATATGCAATTGTGAAAACAAAAGAACCAATATGTGATCGGATCAATGTCTTGACTGACTAAATGTCAACGACAGAAGAATTTTTACACTAAAAGACCAGAAAATTTTGATAGACTAATGAGAAAACTAGTTGAAACTAGGACTGCTTATTTCAAAAGAATTAACCAATAGCTCTAAACACATAAGGAAAATATTCAAAGCCTTAAATATCAAAAGTTATCTCTGTTTGCTCTATCTCAAAGGAGGATTATTACATTAAGTCAAGTAGAAATCATAACGGTAGCCTACACGTTTATATTTCATTCCAGTGGCTCAGCGGAAAGTCTGAAGGCTTATAACGCAAAAAACCGGGTTTCGATACTCGTGGTAGGAACAGCACAGATAGCCCATTGTGTAGCTTTGCGATTAACAGAAAACAAATAAACACTTTCAGATGAAATTATAAGAACGAATTTAATACAATGATATTATGATATTATGATCAATGATATTATTTCCAATTTAATTCTCATCGGTAGAATTCTCCATACACTTCGTATATCACAAAAAAATGATAGAGATTTCAATAAAGACAAAAACTTTGACTCAAATGACCAGGTAAGTCTTCCGCATTTATAAAATTATTATTAGTGTTGAAATTTGAGTTTAAATATTTTTGTGACACCACACCTATACACCTTTATCCATCTTCAGTTACTTAACTAAAAGGAATGAATAATAACATTAATCTGATTTTCACAAGTGTGGATAAGAACTCATACGTAATACGTCATACGTCTTCACTATGAAACTCCCATAACTTGTTATTATAGTAATATATACGAACACAATCATAAATAATTATATTATATTATAATTAATTAATTAAAAATTATAATTGGTCAAACCGACCTTTGTTATGCCGCTATTATTCACTTTTTAAAACATTCTAGTCGAGGAATACATTCCAGATTTCAGAAGGATAAAATTGTAGCTAGAGATGAAGTGAGATCGTCGTCTGATTTGAAATTCGCTATTTACGTATTTGCAGTGACAACTTATTGTTTATTAGTTCCAGTTGCTCCTTACTAGATCTACTATTTTTTAATTATAAGGCTATTGCACTTCCATCTTTGTGATCGTGTTATTAACACTAAATTCAATACATTCAAAAATAAAAATAGTCTCTTTTAATAATAAATAATAAATTCATTTCATCACAGTAAATTCAAATCGATATTAGCATACAATTCGAGTAGTATTCAAAATCTGTAGCTTCATCATTACGCGTTCAATGACACATTCTCCTTACCTTAGCCCAAAGTGTTCGTACTTTGTTTGAGGGGGCTCAATGATGTATGCAGGAGGAACAAGGTTAGCGTTGCACTTGTACCATTGGTCCAGCAGGGCTACGTCTAGACCTGCGTCAAAAGCAGCGTTGTAGATGTGACTATACTCAGAAGATTCAATGCTAAGAGGTAAAGGATAGGGCCTGTACTTGTTTCCCACCAGGCTCTGCGAACGAAGGATAAAAAGAAAATGAACAACTTTGACACTTGAAATCTTGCAATAATACATAACTACACAACAATAGTAATATCAGGTGAAAATAAATGTATGTAACACACAATAATACATAACTACACAACAATAGTAATATCAGGTGAAAACAAATGTATGTAACACGCAATAAATTCAACTTTTAAACTTCAAAAATCAAAATGCTTACAAACATTGTTCTAATAAACCCATAAGTAAATTTCTGACAGGTATAAGACGTTGTTTTTTAAGAATAATAACTGAATAAAACGTATTTAACCTAAATTACTATGTAGCGGATGTGTATTGGCTCATCTGGAGGTTTTCTAATAAGTACAGCACTTAAGCTAAAAGGTAAACTGTTAATGAATATTTTGCATAAAATAAGAACAATTATCTAACACAGTAAAATAATTGACATTAGAACAATATAATATAAATTATGGTTAAAATTTCATTCACGTGAATCAAGAATATGTTTAGCTTCTCTAAGAAGAGAAATGAACTAGATACTTTTACCATTGGCTTTTGAGTTGACGTGTCTTAGTAAGTATAGCGACAATCAGACTCTTTAAGCAGGAAGTTTTGAGTTGTTATTTCTAAGTTACTTGTTTTTCTCCAATTTTTTTTAAATTCTGTTATATTTTTATACATCCAGCCAAGAAAACAGAAATAAACTTCCCCGCCCTGTTCTGCAATACAAAACATTTGATAATGTGAATGCCAATACAGGTTTTTCATTGAAACGAGTGGCGAATTTAACGACAAACATCTTGAACTCTCAACCAGTTGAACGCCAAGAAAAAAAAATATATAACCTGCTATGCGCTTTTCTTATATAATTCCTTATATAGAAAAACTCCGACAGTAAAAGCGATCTGACACAATCCCTAAAGGTGACGAACTAACAGGAGATTTCCATTAAAGTACCTTCCTACGTTACATTCTTCGTTCGGTATATTCGTCTTTGAATCTTCTTTCTAAACTTTTAGTGTATTCGTAGCTCTCTGTGAAAATCTCAACTGTTGATGACAACTTACCTTATCACATTTATCCAGTAATAAATATTTACCTTTGTCCTGATGAAGATACTTCATCCCAGCCTGTTTTCCATTGTCACATATTTACTCCTACCTCGTCAGATGATAAAGCATAATATGTTTTTTACTACATGAATATCCTCCCAGTCTCTGCGAGTTTGATACTTTAAACATCTACTTTTTAACGAACTAGTATGTTGAAACATATCAAATTATTATTATGTAACTTATTTCATTGCGATATTCTTATAAGGATTTACTGATATTTATAAACGTTATTACCTACATTTGTATAAATGTCGAACAATTCTAGGTAGTGACGTAACTTTGATACGTTAAATATTTGATTTTAACACCACTGAAGAAATTGGGTGGTAGTACATTGCTACATTAAGATTAAGAAGTATTAGGCATTACTAAAAGTTTTGAAATAGCGCACATCGAGTCAATAATGGATCTGTTCTCACTGAATATCTTTGTGAATCCCTTAATGCACTGTTGCACTGGGCTTATAAAGGTCAGCAACTCCTACAGAGAACAAGTTGAAGACAGGATTCCAAGAAGAAAGGAATTCACTGATGTTGTATTGGTTGCATAAATATTCGAAATATTTCAACCCTTACTCGTGTTGAAATACATTGCAAATAAAGTGCCAGAAAAAGGAAAGATTACTGGATGTAATAATTTAAATATCTGAACCAAGACTTTAATAAGAGTTCAGGAGTGCAGACCAACAAATTCGTTATGATTTAAGGTTAGACTGCAACTAATAGTCGCTCACCACAGCCGTGACTGTTGACATCGGGTCTCTAACGTTGTCTTTTATGGTAAGCTGGTCATTGGCGTAGACAAGTTAAATTGTGATGTATTACACAACAGTTACAGGAACTTTGCATACACAGCTGTCTAAGTGATATCCACACCATAAAGAAAACTCATTGTATTTTATTGTGGCTTGCAGATGTTTCAAAACATTCCTCACATGCGTCCACTATCCAAGAATTGTCCAATTCTGAAGTAACCGGAAAAATATTACAATGTTCCAAAAGGCAAAAGGGATGCGATAGCATTTGTGATGGCCACTGTTGTCAACGTACGACATTGCCTCGAATGAGGGGTAGTTTTCATTTACCTATACTGCCATTGTAGCCAACGAAATTAAAATAACTTATGATGGTATCGACGCACGCTTGCACCAGTCATGCAAAAGGTATAGGCTGTTTGAGCAAGGAACATTCTCTACATTACTCCTCATAGATGAAGAAGTCTCTATTCTCGAGGATACCTACTTATTCATTGATAAGCTAAATACTGTTCATATATTATTAATATCGTATGAATATAAAAATAGTTAAACAGTTTATTTTTAAAAGGTTTGGCACCATTTTTACTCTAAAACAAGCCGAAATAGTATCACTTTTTAAAGAATATTTATTACATATTCCCGCTGATTATAGGTAACCACAATTTTCTTACGGATAATGTAATAATACCATGTTCGAATGTTAACGGTAACTTGTTTCACGAACACCTACTTAATCTTTTTACGAATGATATATGACCTATCTTATTCTATAAGAATTAATTACAACAGGTTTGTACCGGGGAAAGTTCATCTCATTTTTCTTCTCTGCGAATTAATTTTTACTCTGTATTCCTTTTTTTAAATAATATAACCAATCCACTAATGAATTAGTAGAGCATACCTCCGCCACGCAGTGTTGATTATATTCTGATTTCAAAAAAATACAAAAACGTGTCTGTCTTTATTAACGGACACGAACCATTTTCGACAGGACAACGAGGAATAGTACTCTACATATGTCCACCAAGTTTAATCAAAATCCGATAATTTTTGACTGAGTGATGGAGCAAAAATAGTGTGAAAAATCGGTCCCTATGTTAAGAGATAGGGATTTATTTTGTCGTGACGCTGAACTTTGAGCTTACCTTCCAAAAGCTAATCACTTCTAAGTTAGGGCGTAGTCCAAATGTATATCAACTTTAGTCCAAATTCATTCAGTCGTTTTCGAGAAATCTTGCTGACAAACACACACACACACAAACACAGGGGTGAAAATATAACCCCTGTCACCTTCTGTGACGGAGGTAATAAATGCATCATATTTTTTGTGGCTGTGAAATATTTTATACCATAAATAAAAAAGTACTTAAAAAGCGCCAATAAAATAGTCAAAACTATTCGATGAAACTTTAACAATGACAGTAAAACAACTCCTATATTTCTCTGTTGACAGAAACAGTGCTGTGTTTTATTAACAAAGCAGAAATATAACATCCAACTTCATAATTTTAGAGGAAGCAAAACAGCCACCAAAATCCACAACTCGGAAAGTAATCTTCACAGATCTATAAAAGTTGGTAGATGAGGCTGCATACGAGGTGAAAGACAATTCCAGTGTAAAAAACGATTCTCATCAGGAGGCGTTATAGTACATTTGCATACTTATTACTGTAAAAAAGAGCACCATACATGTCACGATTTATTCTGATAGTGGAAGTGTTTCCTGACAATTTATTTTTGAAAATTAGAATTGTTCGAGTAAAGCATTACTACAGCCACGATAATACAACATTAAGGTAGTGACGACGTGGAAATAGCGAACGAAGAATATCATACACGAATGACCTATATGAGAAGTTTATAAACAAATTTGAACAAATAAGTTCGGTTGATGATGAAACATGGCACATGCTATCATTCCAACACATTACTGTAGAGAAAATTTAAATGAAACAGTCATCATGTGAGATGTGGCTCCTCCCCTCCTCTGCCCTATTGCACGGACTATCAAGATATTGATAAGACATGCTTTAAGAGATCGAATAATCTACAAACATTTTCTACAAACGTGACCAGTAGGGTCTCCGGATCTCATCCTTGTTGAGATTTTGGCTATAGGGCCAACTCAAGTCTCTGATTTTACCGTTACGCTCCCGCTACCATGACAGACCTGAAAGATATGGTTTGTTTGTTTTAAATTTCGCGCAAAGCTACACGAGGACTATCTGCGCCACCCGTCCCTAATTTAGCAGTGTAAGACTAGAGGGAAGGCAGCTAGTCATCACCACCCACCGCCAACTCTTGAGCTACTTTTTTACCAACGAATAGTGGGATTGACCGTCACATTATAACGCCCCCACGGCTGAAAGGGCGAGCATTTTTGGTGTCACGGGGGACCTGAAGGATATCGTACGACACCAAGTGAAAAGCAACTGTTAGAAGACTGACAGTACAATTCATCTGAGTTTCACGTTCTCTCAAGATAAAAACAATACTGCATACGAATGTCAATCACATGGAACATTGTTAACATGATGACTGTTCAATGTCATCAACTCCCCCATCCCTACTAGCTCAGCGTTAGGTCTGAATCCTTGTAACGCTAGCAGTTGGGTTTGGATACTCCTGGCGGACATAACACAGACAGCCCATTGTGTAGCTTTGTTCTTAACAACAAACAAATAATCTCATGAAACCGATTTGATCAAAAAATCAGAATGTATTGACTTGTTAGTTTATAACCCTTACTCTGTCGATATTTTCGACCGTAATAGTACAGTGCAATTTAAATCTTTATTCCGTATTTATCATATAACTAAAACACTAAAATAAAAGTCGAAAACCGAGTTAAATGGGTTTTAGCATATCTTTAAGATATGAGCACGTAATACGTTGTTGCTATTTAAAGCTAGTACCCATGTTTAAAAACGATTTGCGACATTTTTACCATGTTCTTAATAGGATGTTAAAATATGTTATCAGTTAGTAAATGTGATCTTTGATCATTTCCCATTTATATTTTTGTTCTAAATATCATAGATTTAGATTTTAGCTTAGACGGAAGTGTGAAATGATACAATTCGAGGTTAAGAAATCGCTTTTTTCCGACAACGAATACTTGTTTATTTAAA